ATACCCTTAATAGAATGGTAGTACATGTACCTCATCCAAACAACTGTGTTGCTTCCCTTTCCATTCTTAACATAGGAAAATAAATATTCAAAGGCACCATTACAATATGCATTCCGACCTCCAGATGTGGTTTTAACACCCGAGTAGCTGTGTCAGGTATAAAGCTTGTGTTGGGCTGATGCCTATTCTCATATGTAATGCTATTAAATGAAGATCATCTTAGAAAGCCCACTATCCTAGCATCTTAGGAAGCCCAGGATCCTAACCCTTCTTAGTGAGAACAGCTTTAGCACCAATTAAATCTTTCAACTGGTTAAGAATGATGCTTAAAGTTAATGCTTTTGGCCTATGTGTGTTGAGACTAAAATTGCATATTGTTATTAAAGATTCTTAGTCTTTGAAAAAATATTCTATTTGGGCTTAAAAGAAAAGATCATCCATGGATTGAAAAAAAAAAAGAAAATCATAAAAAAATGTAAGTAAATTCTAGCAAACTTGAAAAGCTAGTACAATTCAGGTTAACTCTTCCTGGAGGTGAAAATAAGTACAATTAAGGGTGATTCCTCTAGTCTCCTATGTAAATCAGATTAAATGCTTTGGAATTTAAATGCATATCTCTTACAGCTCTTTTCGTTTTCAAATAAAAAGTTTAAATGACAAAGTTTAAATGAACTACTCATTGGCTTAACATAAATCTTTAAACTGCAGGAAGCTTCACCCTCAAAAAGTAGTTGAATCTCTGAGGAAAAAGAAAAGGCTGAATTCTATTTTTCATAAATGATGGATTATTGTACCACACTGTGTATTTTCCAGTAAAGTGTCCTTTTATTTGCACTGTGTGATTACAAGTTTCTAAAAGTATGTGTGGGGTCACTTGGGTGCTGTGGGAAAATGGAAGGAACACTGTTCTGTTAAAATCAGTAGTGAAATCAGAAGCAAACTATGTCCTGATTATCATAGGCATGTGTTTAAATTTTGCTTTCCTTAATTGGTTGTGTTGTATTTACTTAAAATGAACAATTTGGCAAGTTTTTCTCCCTTGACAACAGAAAAGCATAAACTGTTTTATAAGTTTGGCTGTTAAAAATCAGATTTGTAAACCACAATATTCGAAGATTTCTCTGCAGTTTTCAGGGACCCAGTGATGGACCTTGCTTTTTAACCATGCATTTCTTACATTTATATTTTGTATTTATAGAACTTTAAAATTATTTAATTAAAAACTGTTCCTTATATATATAGCCATACATTGAATTTACCTTCTGCATAACTCTTCTTAGAACAAATGAGCAGAATGAATGATGGCAAAGTCCTGGCAATTTGACTTGTCATCTGAGGATGATTATTTATGACAGCAGGAAATGGAAGTTGATGCTCTAGTCTGTCTTCAGGAAAGTCATCATTACAGGAAACTTCGAAGAATTTGACTATGCTAAAAAGCTGTACAATCATATCCAAGACTGCTAAGTTTCTTAGGACATGTGAAAAGGAAACAAGTTAAAGCGTTTAAAAACATATTTCCATTTCTTTTGAAAAGCCAGTGCACCTTACAGACATTTCTCATGTGTGGAGCCAGATGGTGGTATTGAAAACAATATAATATACATATATATCTCTCTAATTAAGAATACTATCACAGAATACCTCGGGGGTTCCAAAAAGATATAACTCACCACATAATTATTTTCATAATCTAGCATTTAGGCTGTGTCTATGTGTGTGTGTTTTAATTTGCAGAGTACTTCCTCATCAGATCATTATTCTAGCTCCAAAATGACCCAGAATTTCTTGGCAGTCTGTCATGGGAAATGACAAGGTCTTGAGGTTAGACCAGAAATAGAAAATTCTGGTAACCTGTAAAAACTTAGACTGATTGTTCCATACAATTCCAAAGATGGACTTGTGACCAGAAATACCCTGAGACACCTTTTTTTTGCAGGATGTTGTTTTCTACATCACTAGAACTCAGACCTGAGGGACTTTAACTACAGTTATCTGTTACAGCAGATTATAACACCACTGGTAGTCATTGTAATGGCTAGACCTACAATGAAAGTTGATAGGGTATCATGTAGGAATAGTATATTAATATGCTCAGAGTAGTTCTTCCAATCATACAATTTTGAAATAGTTAATTCCAGAATAATCATGATCCTGTAAAAGCAATTTTTGCTTTCTTGGGTAGTTTTTTGTTTGTTTGTTTATTTGTTTGACCTTTTTTTTTTTTTTTTTTTTTGGAACCTAGGAGGCTTTACTACTGAGCCAAATCCTCTTCTATTTTTATTTTGAGACAGGGTCTCATTAAGTTGCTTAGGGTCTCACTAATTTGCTGAGTTGCTTGCTTGGGTTCTAAAGGCACTTTTTCTCTGAGGTCAATTCATCTCTAGGATTCCTTAGTTCCTTATATTTCTATTATATGATTTATTGTAATTACATAGACCAGGTGCATTTTTATCCATACCAGTTAAACCCAGTACTGATATGTACATAGTAGGTCAACTTGTATTCATTTCTATCATCTAGCAACACTGCCTATTAATATAATGTGAGCCATATATGTAAAGTAAAATCTTCTGGTAGCCTATTTTAAAGAGTAAAAAAAAACCATTTTAATTCTATACTTCTTGTAGCTGAAAATATCCAAAATATTACAATTTAAACATAAATCACAAGATGCATGCCAAAACTGGGCTTGGAGGTACACACCTATAATCCCAGTAACTCTGGAAGCTTAGGCAGGAGGATGGCAAGTTCAAGGCCAGCCTCAGCAATTCAGCAAGGACCTAAGCAACTTAGTAAGACCCTGTCTCAAAATAAAAAAAAAAAATAAAAAGGACTGAGGATGTGTTCCTTCCATTTTCCCACAGCACCCAAGTGACCCCACACATACTTTAACAAACTTGTAATCACACAGTGCAAAAATTAACTAAGGGGGTGCAAAAATCACCTCCCAGTTCAGTCCAAGTACCAAAAAATAGAGATGCATTCCAAATGCTCAAGAGCCCCAAATGACTAGTAACTACCATAGTAGAGGGCATTGTCCAATGCAGTGCTTCTCCAGTGGTTTGAAGTTAAGGTCCTCTTAGAAAATAACAATATTTTTAAAACCCACTGAAAGAAATACATAAGACTCATAGTCAAAGTGTACAGAACTGCTCATGGTAATAAAATAGAATCACTGTGATTCTATTTTATTACCATGAGTGCTGAGTGCTGAGTACTACATAACCCATTCTTCAGACACACTAGTTGGGAAGTTCTAATCTATAGCAGTGAGTCCTAACTTTTTTCTAGCTGTAGATCCATTCACCTTGCTCACTTGTAATAGGTAATAGGTAAGAGTTGCCTATTACCAATTCATTTAATGAACAGATAGTTTATGATAGATTGGTGATAGATTGGGTATGTATTATGTGTATTATACATATGCTACTTATGGATTTCATTTTGCTTTTCACACTTCCTTTGCATTCTCCCAGTGTGCTGATAGATGGTTTAGCACCAATAAAAGAGAACTTAGTGGACTCTGTAACTTGTCCCATCAGTTTAAGGCAGCAATTCTCAATGGAACAATTTTGCATTCCTCCCAGGGCAAATTTAGAAATGTCTACAGACATTTTTGATTGTTTCAGCTGAGGCGGGTGCAACTGGTATCTTGTTGGATCGATACCAGGGAGGCTGTTCAACATTCTACACAGTCTGCCTGAGATAGCATCCTGCAAAAAGAACTACTTGGCCTAAAATATCAATAGTCAAGAAATTCTAGTTAAGATAATACAAAGTATGTTGGTTCTTGCGTTGTCTTGATTCAGTATAGCATAGCACCTAGTCCCATGTCTTATCCAAAACTCTGAATCTAATTTACCATTAAAACTCCACCCTTCTCCCAGTCAACATGCAGGTATGACTTTTCCTCCTTCTCCCCTTTCTAGCTTTATACTTCATCTTAACTGCCCATCTTGCTAACTCAAATTTACAACTGCTTTGTGATCCAAGCTGGGGGAAGGAGTTGCAAAATACCCACAATTGACCAATATTGGAAGACTTCTAACAGTCTGAGGCAGATTTTTGTAAAGGAGAACTGAATTTTTTAAAACAATACCTAATAAAGTGTCCCAAAATGTGAATTTGTTGAACAAGTGGGTTAAGAAATTAGAAACCCAGTTAGGATCTATTTTACCTTAGAGATACAACAAATTATAATCAGTAACTAATAATAAGACACCTTGAATGTGTACAGAATCTATGCTTAATGAAAATACAGATCTTATGTGTTATATTCCTCATTTAATTCACAGCCTGTAGCATGGAACCTGATGATCATTATTAAGACATTCAGCAAGTATTTGTTCAGGAATGAATTTGACACACTTATGAATTTGAAAATAAGGCTGAGAATAGGGAACTGATGAAGACATAGAAATGTTTGAGGGAAATATGTGTCCAGTTTTCACCTAAATTTTGTGGTAACGGAGCATCAATAATGAAAGTAACAAATATCAGCTTCCAAAATAAAGAAAATCAGTTTGTATTAACATAAAATAGAAGATTGACAAAATTATTTGGATAAACAGAGCCTTCAAAAATACCTGCATTACTCAGAGATAGTATATAATCAGAATTAATTGCAATTAGCAATGCTAAATCATTCCCTCCCAATTTAGATAATGAGTTTTAATCTAACTGACCATAATTTTGTGTTTAAACAGATATAAAATTATTTAGATAAAAGTTATTATGCTATATATAAAGGAATGAAAGTGAAAATTAATTGTGTATAATTGGAGCTACCCATACTCTGATTGCACCCTGATGTTGAAGTCATACTAATACTTTCATGTGGTCGAATTTTACTCATATGCTCTATATACAGAGAAGGGCCTGAGCTATTAATTCAGGTAGTTGTTCTATGACTACTGTTTTCTATTCATATTTGCATAAAGTAATAATCATAAAGGAGAAATTTACTGAGAGCCTCTGACTTTGTTTTTAATCTCCAGTGTTCAGACTACATCATAGTGCTTCTGATACAAGTGACAAAAACAGAGTTAAAAGCCGATTAAAGAAGTTTATTACCCGAAGACCTTCCCTGAAAACTCTGCAAGAAAAAGGACTTATTAAAGGTACAGAAGTTTTATACTTGTATTGTTACTGTGATAAGTGAATGTGCCTCCGTGTCCACAGCCAATCTGCTCTAAAGGAACATTAGGATAATTTATTCTTCTTAGGTTGCTTATTAAATTTTCTGTTCTATAACAGAGGAAAAAATAGCTGTCTAGAAAAGGAACCCTGAGAAAATAAAGATGGCCTCATGGGATCATTGAAAACAATTCCTAGTTTTGAACTCAGCAGATAGGAATTCTGTACCAGAAGCAGAATAGAAGTATCCTAGTGGGTGGCCTGGTCAAATGACTGCAAAGTCCCATGTGCCAGTACATCCCAGTGTAGTCCTGGTGTCCCTAGCATACCTAATAATAGTAGCCTCAGAAGTGTCCTGATTTGAACAATATTATTTAATCACCCAAATCAGAGTCTAAAATAAGTTCTAGGAATAAAGTCCGAGGCAAACTATTGTCATAAAAATATGACTACAGTCTACTAAAGGGCCAAGAGCTCAATGTAAACTGAAATAATGAGATAATTTTGTAAATATATCCAAGGTAGAGAAAAATATCTGTACCAAATCATCCTTTTCACTATAAAAACATAAAATAAAAATCATGGTCCCTGGCATTAGAAGTAGTTAGAATTTAGACCTTGACAATTATTCTATTATGCATACTGACTTTAAACAATTTATGAACTTTCTGAGCCTCAGCTTTCCCATCTGTTAAATGGAAATACTGAGAGCACATTTGGCTCACTACACATCGACTTCATACAATAATATACTAGTGTAATGTACTAGTATCTTCAATTCTACCTTAGACTTTATCCTGTAGATTTTTATTTTCCTTCGGAAGGATTCAGTTGTAGATTACCTGCCATCTTGAAATAAAACTAGATTAGCAGCACAAACAATCCCAATTTTACATAAATTCTAATTTTTTCACGACTATGGCAAAATAAAAGGGTTTTTAATTCAGTGATAGGGTCTAGCTCCAATCAAAATGCTAAAGAATTAATAACCCTTGACAGTTCCCTAGAATTGGTCTCAGAAAGCAGCAGAGGAACTAGATGCTTAATGCAGTCTTCATACTGATGCAATGGAACCGCTGAACACACTCTAATGCATTCATTTCCTATCTCAGAGTTCCATTAAATTTTCACCATAGCTGACCAATGAGTCAGTATTCATTAGTAGGGCTATGGAAAATCTATGTGAAATTCTGATTTGATAAGCTTCCATTGTTGTCTTCTGTGGAATTTTTTTTCCAAATACAGATCAAGTTATGCAAATGTAGTCACTTCTTGGACTTGTTTCAAATTTAACTATGAACTTTTCTCAAGGCTTTCACTGAGATTTTTTTTTTTTCAATTGAGTAAAAGGCACTGACCCAATTTTTAAAAGGATCTGGCCAGTCAAATTTAGTAATTTAGTCCTATTTATTATTGCTATTATTGTTTAAAGCAGAGATTTAGAAAAAAATCAGTAAAGAAAAATCACATGAAATAAATTGATGATTAATGTTTAAATGGTTAAATTCCCCCAAGCAAAACGACTCACAAAGTTATTTACATTACTGTAGGGTCAGCTGCTATACTAATTTTCATTTTCACCAAGAGTGTATAAGAGTTCCTTTTCCTTTAAAATTGATCTGCAGTGCATTTGGCTAAAGAATCTGAGTCATATTTTTTTTAAACTGCCTTATCTTTCAGATCTGGATAAAAGGCCTCCATTGCCAAAGATAGGAAACTATGCTTCCCAGTTTGGGCCCTGCAGTTATGCTTCCTGCAGGTCCATAACTGTATTCCTCTTTTTCTTTTATTAACAAGCAATAAGTGTATAGATTAGTGGGTTTCACTGTGACATTTCCATATATGTATATATCACACACTGATATTGTCCATCCTCTGTCCCCACTCCCCTGATCCCTTCCTAGTCCTTGTTATACTTTCAGGTCTATTTTGTCGGGGGTTCCATAACTGAGAGAAAATATATAATACATGTCTTTCTATGTCTGACTTACTTTGCATAGCAAGATGACCTATAGTTTCATATATTTTCCTGCAAATGACAGGATTTCATTCTTCTAATGGCCGAATAATACTCCATTGTGTATATATATATATATATATATATATATATATATATATATACATACACAATTTTCCTTATCCGTATATCTATTGACTCATTTATCTGTAGGCTGATTCCATCTTGACTATTGAGAATAGTGCTGCAATAAATGTGGGTATGGTGGTGCTTCTTTTGTATACTAACTTCATTTTCTTTGAATAAATACACAGGAATGGCATAGCTACATGATATGGAAGTTCTATTTTTAGTTTTTTCAGGACCTCCATACTGTTTACCATAATGGCTATGCTATTTTACACACCCACGGAGAGTGTTTGAGGGTTACTTTCCACTACATCCTTGCAACACGTGTTGCTATTGTTATTTTGATAATGGGCATTCTAACTGAAGTGAGATGGAATCCCAATGTAGTTTTCAGTTGCATTTCCCTAATGGCTAAAGATGGTGAACATTTTTTTCATGTATTTCTTGGCAATTTGCACTTCTCCTGAGAAGTGTCTATTTAAGATCAAAGTGAGCCAAGTATTGCCAGTGTCTCATGCCTGTGATCCCAGCATCTCAGGAGGCTGAGGCAGAATTGTAAGTTCAAGACCAGCCTCAGCAATTTAGCAAGGCCCTACACAACTTAGCCAGACCCTGTCTTAAAATAAATATTAAAAAGGGCCAGGGACTTGGTAAAGTGCCCCTGGGTTTAATCCCCACTACCAGGAAAAAAAAAAAATCTAAGTGTGTGCTCTTTTATACAGTAGTACCAAGAATTTGAGAGAATTGAGCTTTGAATTCAGCCAGGCTTCACTGATTACCCATGTGGGGGGCAGGAATGGCTGTACTTAATAAAACCCATCAGACTCATGTCCACAAAGAACATTATATAAAAAATGCCCTGATATCACACAATTTAAATTAAGTCACAAACCCTTTCTTCAAAACCTAGTTTTTGGACTTATGGAGACTTGGCCAATTTGGGATTGCAGTTGCCAGAATCTAGATCAGAAAACTGTCCCTCAATAGTGTCATGTTTTCTAAATTCTTTAGTAAGACTAATGGCAAGTATACATTGTAATGCCAAAAAAAGGATGGTGGAGGTGGTGGTGGAGATCCAGCAGATATTTCTGATTGGTAAATGGAAAGAAATCATTGTGTGTGTGTGTGTGTGTGTGTGTGTATTGGGGGCAGTAAAGCCATGTTTCCTCTACAAGGAAAGAGAGTGTGAAACCATTCCATGTTTCTTCATGCCTTACATACTGAAGTTTCTACACATTACAGTCATAAATACTGTCCTACATAGGGAAAGGAAGATGTTACTAAGTCTAGCTTTGTTTGCAATAAATATCCCAAATATTATTCATTTGCCAGAAGTCTAGAGTGAAAAAAAAAATATTAGTTATGTTATAATTCAGATGTGAGGTGTCCCCCAAAAGCTCACATGTAGGTTCACAGGAAAAAATGATTGGGTTTTAAGAATCTTAACTCAATCAGTGAATTTATCCCTTGATAGGAATCAGTTGAGTGGTAACTGAAGTGCTGGGGTGTGGCTAGAGGAGGTGGGAATCAGGATATGGCTTTGGATATATATTTGTATCTGGCCAGTGGTATCTCTCTCTCTCTGCTTCCTGATCACCATGATGTGAGCTGCTTCCCTCTTCCACACTCCCCTGCCATGATGTTCAACCTTGACCAGAGAAATGGAGCCAGGCTTCTATGGATTAAGACATCTGAAACCATGAACCCTCAAACATTTCTACAATTGTGCTAGTCAGGTCCTTTAGTCACAGCAGAAAGAAAAAAAAAACTGACTAAAACAGAGAATCTCTGCCTCCTGAAGTTGTGTAGACTTAGGTTTGTGTTCCCTTATTTCTCTGCTTTCCTATCCATTTTGGATCACTTAATGATCCAAAATGGCTGCTTGAGTTTCACCCACCATGACCATGTTATGGTTTCGATATGAGGTATCCCCCAAAAGTTCATGTGTAAGAAAATGCAAGAAGGTTCAGATGTGAAAAAGAATAGATTATGATAGTTGTAACCTCACTGATATGGATTAACTGGTTGATAACTATAGACAGGGATGGTGTGGCTGGAGGAGATAGGTCACTGGGGAGTGGGACCTTAATAGATCAGGTGGGTGTGGCAATCATCCTGCCACTGCAGTGACAGTCTCTGGAAAGCTCCCTGAGTGCATTTATGTTTGCCAAGGGGATGACAACATTTGTATATGTATCATTTTACTACATTGACCATCTCACTGGAAACACAACTTAAATCAGTTTAATTTGGAGATTATAGGCACAAGGGTACACTTTAGGATAGTAGGTGTGCTTGTACACATCTTCTACATAAGTCAGTTTGGCTAACACTAGCAAATTATTACTTCAGTTCCCAAAGCAAGTAATCATTCAAATAATAGCACTGACTTCAAAAAATGGACATACTCAAAAATATAGTTTTTAGAAAAGATAACAACTTTTTTATCTATGAATACCATTTCCAAATATCAAAAGAAATAAGATTGTATATTTGGAAAGTGGTTTTATTCATCTTAATATGAACAAAACCCATGACATTAGTGGAAACTGAAATTACTGTCATACTAGTTCAATTTTTAATCAGTATATTGTAAAGTAGACAATCTACTTAAAGATTCAGAAGTATATGGTAAAAAGCAATGTTTTCCAGCCTAGTCCCAGTTTTGCTCTGAGGAGCCACCACTTCGGTTTCTACTTTTAGCTCTCCTAGCGGTTGGCTCCATATCTATACTATCTAGGGTGCAGCGTGGTTTGTGTCTGTCAGTGTCTTTCTTTTCTTTAATGCTATAATATCATAATTTATCAGTCTTAGACATTAATTCATATTTCTGATGTAATAGGAATGAACTGGACTCAATTCTACCATGCCTCCTCTCTACTCCTCCTCAAATACACA